TCATCATATTTATATGGAAGCATGCTCAAGTAGTGTAGATTCAAGTTTGTTCAAATCATGACCCCCGGGGGTAGGGCGGGGCCAAAATGGCCGACCAAAGTTTTACATAGAAATATATAGGAAAATTCTTTAAAAATCTTCTTCTCAAGAATGACAAAGCCATAATTCATCATATTTATATGGAAGCATGCTCAAGTAGTGTAGATTCAAGTTTGTTCAAATCATGACCCCCGGGGGTAGGGCGGGGCCAAAATGGCCGACCAAAGTTTTACATAGAAATATATAGGAAAATTCTTTAAAAATCTTCTTCTCAAGAATGACAAAGCCATAATTCATCATATTTATATGGAAGCATGCTCAGGTAGTGTAGATTCAAGTTTGTTCAAATCATGACCCCCGGGGGTAGGGCGGGGCCAAAATGGCCGACCAAGTTTTTACATAGAAATATATAGGAAAATTCTTTAAAAATCTTCTTCTCAAGAATGACAAAGCCATAATTCATCATATTTATATGGAAGCATGCTCAGGTAGTGTAGATTGAAAATTCTTTAAAAATCTTCTTCTCCCCCGGGGGTAGGGCGGGGCCAAAATGGCCGACCAAGGTTTTACATAGAAATATATAGGAAAATTCTTTAAAAATCTTCTTCTCAAGAATGACAAAGCCATAATTCATCATATTTATATGGAAGCATGCTCAAGTAGTGTAGATTCAAGTTTGTTCAATTCATCATATTTATATGACCCCCGGGGGTAGGGCGGGGCCAAAATGGCCGACCAAAGTTTTACATAGAAATATATAGGAAAATTCTTTAAAAATCTTCTTCTCAAGAATGACAAAGCCATAATTCATCATATTTATATGGAAGCATGCTCAGGTAGTGTAGATTCAAGTTTGTTCAAATCATGACCCTCGGGGGTAGGGCGGGGCTAAAATGGCCGACCAAAGTTTTACATAGAAATATATAGGAAAATTCTTTAAAAATCTTCTTCTCAAGAATGACAAAGCCATAATTCATCATATTTATATGGAAGCATGCTCAGGTAGTGTAGATTCAAGTTTGTTCAAATCATGACCCTCGGGGGTAGGGCGGGGCCAAAATGGCCGACCAATGTTTTACATAGAAATATATATGAAAATTCTTTAAAAATCTTCTTCTCAAGAATGACAAAGCCATAATTCATCATATTTATATGAAAGCATGCTCAGGTAGTGTAGATTCAAGTTTGTTCAAATCATGACCCCCGGGGGTAGGGCGGGGCCAAAATGGCCGACCAAGTTTTACATAGAAATATATAGGAAAATTCTTTAAAAATCTTCTTCTCAAGAATGACAAAGCCATAATTCATCATATTTATATGAAAGCATGCTCAGGTAGTGTAGATTCAAGTTTGTTCAAATCATGACCCCCGGGGGTAGGGCGGGGCCAAAATGGCCGACCAAGGTTTTACATAGAAATATATAGGAAAATTCTTTAAAAATCTTCTTCTCAAGAATGACAAAGCCATAATTCATCATATTTATATGGAAGCATGCTCAGGTAGTGTAGATTCAAGTTTGTTCAAATCATGACCCCCGGGGGTAGGGCGGGGCCAAAATGGCCGACCAAAGTTTTACATAGAAATATATAGGAAAATTCTTTAAAAATCTTCTTCTCAAGAATGACAAAGCCATAATTCATCATATTTATAGAAATATATGGAAGCATGCTCAGGTAGTGTAGATTCAAGTTTGTTCAAATCATGACCCCCGGGGGTAGGGCGGGGCCAAAATGGCCGACCAGGTTTTACATAGAAATATATAGGAAAATTCTTTAAAAATCTTCTTCTCAAGAATGACAAAGCCATAATTCATCATATTTATATGGAAGTATGCTCAAGTAGTGTAGATTCAAGTTTGTGACCCCGGGGGTAGGGCGGGGGGCGGAAATATATAGGCCATAATAGGGCGGGGCCAAAATATGTTTTACATAGTATGACAAAGCCATAATTCATCATATTTATATGAAAGCATGCTCAGGTAGTGTAGATTCAAGTTTGTTCAAATCATGACCCCCGGGGGTAGGGCGGGGCCAAAATGGCCTACCAAGGTTTTACATAGAAATATATAGGAAAATTCTTTAAAAATCTTCTTCTCAAGAATGACAAAGCCATAATTCATCATTTTTATATGAAAGTATGCTCAGGTAGTGTAGATTCAAAATGGCCGACCAAGGTTTTACATAGAAATATATAGGAAAATTCTTTAAAAATCTTCTTCTCAAGAATGACAAAGCCATAATTCATCATATTTATATGAAAGCATGCTCAGGTAGTGTAGATTCAAGTTTGTTCAAATCATGACCCTCGGGGGTAGGGCGGGGCTAAAATGGCCGACCAAAGTTTTACATAGAAATATATACGAAAATTCTTTAAAAATCTTCTTCTCAAGAATGACAAAGCCATAATTCATCATATTTATATGGAAGCATGCTCAAGTAGTGTAGATTCAAGTTTGTTCAAATCATGACCCTCGGGGGTAGGGCGGGGCTAAAATGGCCGACCAAAGTTTTACATAGAAATATGTAGGAAAATTCCTTAAAAATCTTCTTCTCAATCATTTTCTAAAAAATAGCAAATCCATGATTGGTCATGGGACTACTTTTGGGTTTAAACTTTACACTAAAAAGCCATTTTATACTAGTCCTACCCTTGGTGCTCAGGTGAGCGATGTGGCCCATGGGCCTCTTGTTCTTCCTCTGATTAAAACAAGTATTTGGTATTCTCTTTTGGGTATGAATGTTTCTTTTCGGACACAATAATTAATTTTTATAGAACTCCTTGCTTATCGATTTTATCAAATGTATATATCTTTATAACTTAATCATCAAGTTTTGTTATTCCATAATTTTAAATTTCAAGTAATTTCTATATAAAAGTAAGTATCTGAATACTTTACATTTTGTTTGTTTTATGTTCAATAATATTTCAATCATATTGAGACACTTCCACTTGTCGATGGAGCTAGCTACATTTAAGTCTACAAATTTTTACCTATACACGGCTCTCGAAACCATTGAGTAATGAGGGATCGTTTTGTGCAAGCACATACTGCAACATGGGATTTCGGTTTATATGGTCTCATCAAAAGAGTTTATCTCCAAATGCATCCTACTGGATTCGAACCTGCGACGTAAGGATCAATTAACACCTTACTTTGAATCTCTAGAGCAAACTCTTTTAACAACTGCGCCACGCGAGTGACACTTAAAGTTTGTGAATTTGATTTGATTCAAATGTAATTAAAAATCAGACATAGTTTAACGAGCTACTACAAGAAAAAAAAAACAGTTGTGATCAGGAGGAACGATCTTTTTCACAGATAGATCATTGGGATTATAATACCATTGTGTCTGTGCATACGCATGTATTCATTAATTTTAACTGTTTTAATTATATCATTAAATCAAATGTTACATTTTATAAGGTAATACTGCAATGCAAGAACATACACATTTTTCAAGTTCAGATTTGGTGTTATACAGGTGACCAACTGAATGCTGATAAATTCATGAAATTAAGGATGCAAAATTAATGTCATTTCAAATTGTGAGATCGAATATCAACAAACTTTAATGCTATTATTTTTTCCATTTACCAACGTAAAAAAAATGAGTTGCATGTATCTGGTCTTACAAAAATTTTCCGGTCCAACAGATCATTTTACTTGTAAGAGCAAATAAATGTCTGACAGTGGTATTTTCTGCAGTAATGTTTTTTAAAGAAACGTTGTTCTGTCTCTTTATTGCTGAAGCAAATTGAAAGAAGTTGGGTTAAACCTTAGCGTTCCTTTGACCTAACATCTTTGTTTACATCTCTATATATAGACAATCGTGTCATTGTCAAACCAGTTAGACCAGTTGTTGCTCCTTGGATGACCTCGCACTTTTTGTAATGGAGCGTAGTGGAGTCAGCCGAAGATTGCCCAATGATAAATGACGGAAAACTGGGAATTTTTCTTTTCATAAAGTTATCATAATTTACGTGTCATTTCTCAAGAGAGATGACAAAAATATGCTATTCAAATTAAGTTAAATAAAATTCTATTTTATTTACTTTCAAATCATTTATGAAAATTAGATAAATTCAGAAAAATGAGATGGACTATTTTTATTGCGGAAGTTTCTTCGAATTTATTGCAGCCCGGAGGACCGGGCTGCTCTATACATATAAGTTTAAGTGTTGGTGTATGGGGATTGGGGTGGGAGTAGTTATTAAGAATTAAAGGTTTTCTAAACATTGAAAAGATTTTTAGTCAGGCTATTCTTTCCGTTTATAAATTACGAGATACATGATATATTTACTTCCATAAAGTGAATCTGTAAAAATATATATGTTTTTCATATTTAATATATAAAGTCACTTATCATTTACTATCAAAGCAACGACAGGTCCCTTTTTTTTTAGAACATCGAATTTTACTTGTCGGATAAAACGTACTCTGCACAGTTCGTGTTTTATATTCTAAAATTGAAAATTAGTACATTTTTAAATATAAATGATGCGTGTGTCTAACTTCAATTTATAATTTATGCAGCCAACATTTACTCGAGGAATTGATCAAGTTTAAAATGGTATCGTTTTTGATTGATTTCTGTCCAACTACAAGTTTTTTAAAATATTTGCGACTATCGTCTCCATAAATTAGACGCATGCCTTTTACACATATCGAAGCGGTTTGTTGATCAAGACTCATTTTCATTGTTTACTTTATGTATTTCCCGGGCGACAATTAAATATTGATGATTACATCAATGTTTTCTTGTATAGACTGGTACGAGTTTGTATTGAATATCACAGGGGAGTAAATTGGCCGACACAGAAACACCACGACGGCCGCTATATAATTCATTGTAAAATTACTGCGCTAGAAACCGCGTGGCGGCCTAGGGAGTCTGAACATAGTTCAACTCCCAGTAACATTTTATTTGCTTTAAACTGTTTGACGTATTTGGGTCTTTTAGGACGCAATGTTGCACTGTGGAAGAGAACCAGCCAGTCATCAAATTACAATAGTGATTACACATCTGACAAAGCAGTGGATGGATGGGACAGCGGAGGAGATTTATTTAATAACTCGTGCACACATACGTATGAGAAACATGAGTACTATGGTCCTTCTTGGAAGGTTGATCTTGGAAGCCCTTATTCGATTTTGTCAGTCCGCATCGCAAATAGAAACACATTTGGTTTGTTCTTTTAATATTGCATGTTCACCTTTTGAAATTTATTGTCTTGTTATTGTAGTTAGGATAAAGGAGAATATATTGAATCATGAGATAATTTCAAACACGTAATAAGTGTAATAAATCCTTATTTTCATACATATTTTGAATTGTATTAATATATTTTACAGAATTAAAGGTAACTTTTTTTTGCAAAAGATATAATTGCTGTAAGTTTAATCGACTGAAAAAATTATACTGATTTTCAGATATCGATCAAAATATGATAAGTTATATAAATATAGCATTGTCGAAATAAAAAAAATAATATAGAGAATACATTTGTGAAAGCTGATTTTAATTCATATCAATATTGTAGATATGGGAAAAACAGCATTTGAATATTATACCACCAGGCGCAAATTATGCGCAATCGGAGAGTTAAACATTTCAGTGAAAATTGTAAAGCGTGCTCTATTCTAGAAGTCACTGCCAGGTTAAAATGTTTTTTTTTTCATTTTTTAAATATTTATCTAAAATTAAAATTTTTCTATTGCCTGAACCAACCTACCAATGTTCTAGTCTGCTATCTTAGAAAGGAAGAAAATACGTCACGTACCATGTACACATAATCACTGTGGCGTTTCTAACAAAAAAAAACCAGGTATGTGCAACCCGGATTATTCCGCGAAGCACACACTCAATCTAAAATGGGCAATGCACAAGTATCACTGAAATAAAATCCCATATTCCTTTATGTTGCTTGAATATAGGTTATTTTCAATACATGTATGAATATTTGCGAGAAGGAAGTCATTAAATAGTGTTTTTGAATTAACTTGGCGGGGCAGGAATTGTAATAAATATCTTCACTTCGAAATTCACTGGGTATGCAGAGAATGCTTATGTTCCATGTACATGTATTTGATATCGTATACGATTATAGGCTGAATCAAATTCAAATAAAAAAGGGAGATGGAGAGACATCAACAGTTCAATTATAAGCATTGCCATAGGGGGTTATTGTCCCCATTACCACTTTTGAAGAAAATGTCTTCTCAACAGTCTCGTTTAAAGTAATCGTTTCGTAAGTTCTATGGTCGATACAAAGACCTTGTCAGCAAATACAATTTATCACTGAGTCAAATGCTGACTGACGTTTTTCATACCTATAGTTAGTTCATTATTTATACACTAAAATTTTTCCGTTATTTCCTGATCATGACAAGGAGCACACGGCAGATGTGACCGGTCGGCAGGGGATGCTCACTCCTCCATGGCACCTGATCCCACCTCTGATTTTCGGGGGTCCGTGTTTGCTCTGCTCTTATTTTGTATTGTTTTATGGACTTTTAGATGGAATTTTGTTCGTTATCTTCATATCCTTCTCAGTAGGTGAATTGTAAATCACCTATGAAGCGAAAATAGAAAGTAACAGTATTATAAAAGTGGCAATGGCTATGTACTTCGTAAATATTAATTAGATGGTATTCCACTCTGTGGTATACATAGGATCTTACACTTAAAAACGAACTTCCAGTCTTAAAACCCCCGACCACCTGAACGAATTAAAAAATATAAACAGTGAACCATGATAGAATATATCAGATACAAATTACTATCATTACATCAGATCTCACTACTTATTGCTTAAAATATCTAAAATAATTTGTGATTTAAGCCATTCTATATAAGCTTTGACAAAAAATTAAAAGGGGAAGATGCTAATTGTATCAGCCGAATTTAAAATAGAAAAAAAACAGAGATGAGGGACACAAAGATAATCTTGCCTCCCCGGGTACAATAGCCCCCTATGAAATTAACTTTTAATGTCTCTCCATCCCCCTTTTCAAAATATATTTAATTCATTCCAGCCTATAATTATACGCGATATAAAATACATACATCCCGAGTGAGTGGAGATTCATAAAGATTTCCGCCCTTGCAAAGCTAGTTCAAAATTACTATTCTATGACATTTATTCTTCTCGCAAATATTTATATACTTATTTCAATAAAATTATATACTCTTTTCATTTCAACAACATTATATTGATATGATTTAAATATCTTGTTTCGATCGATATTTTAAGGATATCCGATCCTTAGCCAGGAAGGATAACACTAAAAATTAACATTTAAATTGAAATGCATCAAAATGAAGCTTGGAAATGAATTTTTTTTCATGCAACAATTTTCATTTTATTCATCTTTATAAGATTCACAGTCTTTGTAAGTTTTAGAAAAGGTGTTATAAAAGTTGACATTTGTATCATATAAAAGGAGAAAAAAAATTAATACAGTTTTAGAGAAATAAGATTTTCTTGAATCCAGCCCTAGATACCAATTAGCATGATATTAAATGAGAAGTGATTCGATATGTGGTGTCTTACAATGATAGCAAAAGCCTTTTACATTACGTATTGTAGAATACATGACGGAAATAGAAGACAAAAAATACGAAATAAGTATAAAAATCATGACAATTTCACTGAATGCCTGGATACCTATCGTTTTTAAACCTAAAAATATTTGTTGATAAATTACAATTAGAAAATGCAATGCTGATATTCCAATTCGCATTTTCTGCAAGAATATTGGAGATTTGACAATTTTCCCCATATTATAATATGATTAACTTTAATCTTTAACTTTAAAGAAATATTGTGGATAATTTACATAACTTTGTGGATTCACAGATACTTTTATGAGTATTTATGATTACTTAAGTGCTTATTTTATAAACCTGAGGATCGGAGTACCTTAAAATCAATATTATATTTTCAGTCGATAAAACGTAAAATCTATTGAACAAAAGAAACTGCATTTATTCTGTGACAACATGTTAAAACAATTCAAAATACGTATACATATAAATAAGAAGTTATGACATATTTTGTGGTGGTATAACGATAAAATATAAGAATATATCCACATACATAACAAAAAAAAGTGAAAAACCTTTTAGGCTTCTGTACATTTCCCTTTGATTTCTATTAATCAATGTCAATTGTGTATCTCAAATTCAATCAGAACTTTTCGTTTATAAAATTAAAATATACAATATACTAGTAAGCGTCTGTCCTGTAAGTGTTCAACATCACATAAGTCTTATTACCCAAACAAGCGTCGCAGTTTGATAAAAATTAAGAATTTTAATAATCCCTAAAATAATAATAGCATGATAATTCTTAAATGATTTGAAGCATCCCCAAATATAGAGGAAGAATGAAGAAGAAAAGTTGATAAGTTTAACAATTGAATAAAATTAATAGTCTAAAATCAAAATTCATGATTGGGCAATCCGTTTTGCTTTAACTCAAAATGTTTTGCACACTGGCATTTAAAGGCAAAGGATTTTTTACCGGGTGGTAAATTCCAGGTGAGAGAGGGGCTTATTTTGTACAGATGTGAATGCCTTGGGGGCTAGCAGTCTACCTGTGGCCACCTGTCTCCTAATCCCTATACACAAGAAGTGATTAAATACACAGTGAAATACCCAGATGTCAAAATTTACCTGTGTTGGGTATTTTGAGACAATTTTAAAATTAGCAGTAAAAAGGTTTTCCAATTATATATCGAATAAATTTGCTACTATTTGAAAACACCCCTACCCATTTAAAAATATATTTTATCATACTATATATTCAAAAATTAAAACAAAGATTAATATTGTTTTAGATATCATTGTATGTGTTACTTTAAAGAAAACAACTCTTGTAACAACCAAATTAGACTTAAATTTAATTCATTCATCCCCTGGATACCATCTTTTAATTATTGAATGAAAAGAGATCTGTGTGAACTACTGTACATTTCACAAAAAAAATATCTGCACTGTTTAGGTTTTATCTTAACCTAGTTTATAAGGCTTTATCACCATGAAACATGCTAAAAAAAGATTGCTTGTAAATTCTCATCTAAATAGAAAAAAAGGAAGAAGTAAGTGACCCATGAATAGAAACATTATTTATTTTATTTAATTACTTCATACAGTGCTGCTCTGAATTATCAATAACATATCCTCTTTAGGATTACCACTTAGCATATCAAAAATAATATCTGAATTTCATTGGGAAAAAAGTTTTTATTATCAACCAAAGGGGTTTTTTTTTATTTTGGTTTTAAAATGCATTTTATTTTATTTTCCTTTCAAATACTAGAGGTATATTTAATTCACATATTAGCAATCTAAAGAAATTCATAGTAATAAAGTAATTCTGTATACCATGTTCAGTAAACATCAAATGATCAAAAGTTGATAAGAAGGTCACAACGAGTCCCAAACAAGATGTACAGGGTATACACAGGGACCAGTAAGTAAATGTCAATCAAGTTTCAGCATCCAATAATCGACCTTCACACACTTGATTGACAGGGCTACCCATACCAGGTATTTTTGAAGGCGGTGCTTAAAATCTCTGCCTTTAAGGATGAACTAAATATACAAATTATTATGAAATTGAAACTTCTTTTTCCGTCGGTAAGATACATACAAAAAGTTCTTTATTCAATTTATATTACATTTCTTCAGAACAGAGGATAAATGGATTTCGATTGTTTGGACTAAACTTTACAAACACGAGGCAGTTGATATATTCAGATCAAGGAAATGCTACTTCAAGAAGAAGTATAGTTTGGATAGACTCGTCATTTATGACATCATCTTTGTACCACACGATCATCATTGATGGAGAATATCTGGTTATATACAACAGCACCTACAAGATTCTCGCGCTCTGTGAAGTAGAAGTGTTTGGTATTTATAGGTTTATTCCATTCTAATGATTTCTAAAATACAAAATGAAAATGGCAACAAATTTCATACAGAATGTATTAAAATAGAATTAAACCTCATATTTTTGTGATTGGAAAAACAATTAATTATAATTTATTTTCTTTTGAAACAACTGGTCACGGTAGGCTAGTTGTAGAGCGTTCGTTTTGTGATCGAGAGGCCCGGGTTTACGGCACCGCGTCAAACCTAAGACATAAATATGTGTCACGGTAGGCGTTGGCACGATAAAGAACCCTCACTGCTCAATGACAATGAGGGCCGAGCATTGGTCTACATTTGAAGCCCTTTACCCGCATACGCATACATACCGGCATGCATCATAACACGAGTAAAAGATTTTCGCATGGGACGTTAAGTAATATACAATCAATCAATTTTTAACACAAAAATTAACGATTGGACCTTCAGTACCCATTTTTAAAGAAATATTTGAAATGTATAGGAACGTTATGATGAGCGCGACAACCAATAAAAATACGGATGACATTTATTTTTCTTTACTTTCATATTTTACAAATATAATATTCTTGTGGAAAATTGGAGGACTTAAAAGTCAAAAATGATCGAGAAAGGATAAACTATTTTTATAGTTTTTAAAAATCCATTTTGAAAAACAAAATATTAATAGAAGAATTCGAAGCATAACGTCGTAGTCAAAGACTATTAGTTAAACGTCCGCATTTTAAGGAATTAATTGTATAGAACCCCTACAAAAGTGTTTGACAACATAAAGCACGTCTTTTAAATTTTAACAAACACTATTTTACCCTACACAGGAAAATTGTCCACATGTGTTACACATATGTTTGGTTTCACATGTGTTCAACACATGTTTTATACATGTAGGCCTAATACATGTGTGTAAATAAACACATGTAAAATATGTGTTTCATTTATATGTAAAACATATATAATATACATGTGTAATACACCTGTGAGATAATATTTATGCTAAACACATGTTTTTCACCACACATGTATAACACTACACATATTATACACGCGTAAAGTTTTATCTCATATATGTTTGTTCATTAATTCAAAAGGTAAATGTTAGTAATTACTCATGTATAGTTTAACTTTGTTTATCCCCCCTTTCCCTTCTAGAAAAAAAATTCGCAATTTTTTTTTCTGTAATAATGCATTTATTAGACAAAATTGATAAAGAATAAATTCATTTTCTTTTCATTTTAAATCTTTTGGGCTCGGCTTATTTCTTGAGTAAAATGAAATAATTCCGTATTTGTCTCCGGGCCGGTTTAGTCTTTTATCGGATGGAAATGTACGTCATTTTTGACGTCACTGCTGCAGCAGACGTGCTGGGTGTATTGGAAAGGTAACTGATCTCCAAACAATTTTTTTACAAACTTTTAATTCATATTGTTTAAATATCATTTCATTATAGTTACAGGTGCATATGAACTTTCTATATACATGTAATACTCTTATCATCGCGTAAACATCCAAAATCGACAACTCCTTGGCTTCTGCAGAAAACGAAAGTATAACACGTGACGTAGTGTCGCTCGGTTTGTCTCAGGACTTTACTATTACAATGAAGGTAAAAGTAAAGTCGTACCCAAACTGAAATATTTGAATATTTTATTGGTAAACTCAGATGCTTTCATTTTATCAATGACTACTATTTCATTTCTTTGCTCTTCTGTTTTAAAGTATTTTGGTTTAACTTTTTTCCAAAATTTGTTGAATTTGGACAGAATCTGGGTTAGTACGAAATATTCTCTAAGTCACTTGTCATACTGTAGTGAAATTGTGTATGTAAATGTATTCCCTATGACCTTTTACCCTGACCTCATAGCCATCCACCCGTGCTGGCCAGCACGCTTTCCCTATCGTCAGTCCAGTCCAGTCCTTTCTCCAATCACCAGGTGTGTGTGTTACCTGTTCCTTTAGTATTGTTGTACCTGTACCTGTTTACCAATATGTAGACTTTGTGTCTTAGTCGTCACCTTATATTATACTTTAAGGTAGGCGACATTATTCTATAGTAAAGTGTTCATATTTTACTACATTGGCTACAACGACTGACGATAGGGAAAGCGTGCTGGCCAGCACGGGTGGATGGCTATGAGGTCAGGGTAAAAGGCCATAGGGAATACATTTACATACACAATTTCACTACATTCCTCCCCGTTTTATTTAATAAAGCTAGGGACTATTACTGTAATTAAATCAGAGGAACGTAAACCAGAAATATATAAGTATTTTCTTATATGGCATGGAAAACGTATTAACTAATTCATGTATCCACATGAACTTGGACGGAATTACATCCAGCACCTTAGTTCTGCAGGATAAACATGTTTGTATGTGGCAAGATTAATTAAAGTAAGTTAATATACGAATTATGATAATCCGCATGTAACTTCCACATTGGATCAAATGACCATGTTTAGCCATACGCATTCCATGTTGTATGTTATACATTTCCTATGTTTTAACATTTAATATAGCCAAAAGGAATATAACTTACCTATGACCTAACACTGACCTACTTCCATGAGAGTCCTGAAACTGAATGGAGTCATGGCATATGCATGGTTTAGTCAAGTGAGAATCAGTTGTACCAGTATATAACTTTTATCGTGTATACAACTGATTTACCTATATATTGTGCAAGAGTGCAGTAATATATGTTAGAACTTAACAACAATCAGATAAACTAACTGCTGTGATATATATTACTGCTAACTAACTTAATATGAATATATTTTAATGTATGTCCGTCACCTTAAATATGTCAATGCCTAAATACTGTACTTTAAAGCTTATACTAAGTAACTAACTTAAGCCTAACCTAAACTAAGTAAACTGTATATTTTCTTACTACCTATCCTGATAACTAAACTAACTAAAGAAGGGAAGTTTCCTTAATTGTTGACTAATCATAGGAGACGCTATGAAATGTAACTATTAAACATATTTACAAAACATATTCCGCATCAGTACCGTCACTTTCTATAATTAGTTAGCCGGGTATGATACGGAAAATGTATGACATATAACTATATACAAGTTAAGTAAAGCAATCCGCCCCAATACCGTCACTGAGAAAGGTCAGCCAAGTATCTGTTCGGAAAGCATAAGGTTATTTACATGGAGCAATCCAGCCCAATACCGTCACTGAGAATGGTCAGCCAGGTATCTGACGGAAAGCATTTATGTTGCATGATTACACCAGTCCTTGTTTAGTTATTCTTGGACATTCTTAGGAACTGGATGAAGGACATGCAACAGAATAGATCATTGCATAATTACGACTTATATATTTCCTAAATATGCTTTACCCAGATCAGATCTCCGTGGAACAGTGAGAGGAACTACATCATCTAGGTCACAGCGCCAGTAGTGAATTCCACCACAAGCCAAGTCTTCAATGTTGAAGTTTGACCTGTAAAAGGGACAAGCTACGTCTATCCTAGATGATGCGTCTATATTGGTATGCTCTTTGCCATCCCTGTGTACAGTCATGTTGTATTTCTGTCCAACGAGCAAGCTGGCGTACGTGTGGCAAAGCATCTTCCCAGCATCGAAAGAAGTACGAGAAGACTATACTGCCAAGAAGTTCCTTACTATAATTGTGCAGTAGCGTCGTTGTTTAGATGACAGGGTTAAACTAGCATAAGTGATGGTTCTCTCTTCACCGTCTTAGATTTAAGGTTGATAGTTTTAAACTTATGGAGATCAATACACTAACATCTGCACTATTTTACATCTACAAACTACATTCTACACTATTTCCCCTCCCTTTTATTTTTAAAATAAGAGAAGTAGTAATACCTAACTGTTCTAATTATTAATGTAGGAATACTAGAACTTATCTAATGTAGTTTTTGCATATATAATTAGCTATACTGGTGTATTGACTATTGTACACATATTACTAAAGTACTATAATTGTGGAGGCAAGTCTATTAGTAATTCCACTAAACAATAATGACTAAACAGATAGTGCTGCAAATTATTGTAATAAGAAGCACACTAATATTGTTAATATTAGTAAGCTTAGTATAATAATCCACTTACTAGATCATATCTAAACTGATATTAAATATAACGTAGGAACCAAATAAGGTTATATCACAACAAAAACTAATATCATTAGCACTACATTCTACTACGAAATAAGTACTAGAATGCTAAAATTGACTAAATTACTATACTAATTTGATATAAAACTAACACTTATTTTTTCTTATTTATTACTTTTATTAAAACCAGCACACTATGTTAATAGTAGAACTATAGTTTATAATTCGATAAACACTGGGTATAAGCATTTCAGGGATTTTATTGCAAATGATCTATGTCAATGTGATGGGCCATGGTACAACCCAGCACTTGTTCTCAAGTGGCAGCCCATCTGTATATTGCTGGATGCCAGAGCATTTACAACAGACTTGTTGCTATGCTCAGGCAACATATCACTCCTAGGAGGCTGTGTATCCAAAGTCAAATCCGGGAATGGTTGGCAGTTGGATGTTATGTCAGAATCTGGAGTTAAATGGCAACCAGCAGTTGAATGCTCACTACTCAGTAGCCCTAACCCAGATGAACTGCCTTCAGGAACATTCTTGTCCTCTTTGTCTGAAGTTGTTTGGCAACCAGCAGTTGAATACTCACTACTCGGTAGCCATAACCCAGACTTACTGTGATCAGTTTGGTCTCTATCCTCTATGTCTTCTGTGTGTGGAATTCCAGGAACTTGGGGATCATCATGTGACACAATGGTATTCCACTGCATACTAGCAGGTGATATATCACCACTCCGTATTTGTGGAAACCCTGGTGGACACTTGCTGGGAACTGTAGACATCTGCTGCTGGTGTACTGCAGTAGGCAGGTCATATGCACAGCTGCTGTCGTCATCTCCAGGTCTCATCAGTGCTGAACCAGTTCTTTGTTCCTGGTCAAGGATGTTATTAGGAATTCCATTTGTTGACATAGTAGGACATTGTACAGCTAC